TGCAATTAAGGCAGTAATTTAGCTTTAACCGATATTAAGTGTTGGCCTTCCACTTAAACCGTCTGCCAACTTTGCCAACTTTGTGCCAGTGGATGGAGGGCCTGGATGGGTCTTCATTAAAACGGATTCGTGTTGCTGGTGTTGCAGATGTCGTTGCTGTTGCTGCTGTTGCTGATGTTGCTGTTGCAGGAACAGCAGATGTTGCTGCGGGGAAAAGGTGAGGGGCTTAGTAGCTGAGTACTCTTGCAACTGGCAAATGGCATTATTTTTGTTTGACAAGTCAAAGCGACGCGACATCGCGACTACTGCGACGACGGCCGCAAGAGCAAGAGCTCTTCAAAGTTGCCAGAGCATACTTCTAGGCGCGCCCAAGTGCGTGTGTGCCGCCCCCTGAAACACCCCTCAAAACCCCCCTCGCCAGCCCCCTTGAAAGGCCCCTTTGGCCCACGTGTTTGAGTCATTCTGATGCCGGACTAACGAGTCTCAGACGGAGGCAACCGACAACATGGAAAGAGCTATCAAAAAATGCTGGAGCTCTTAGAAACCTAAGTAACATATCATAAACTGGTTTAAATATTTTTTATAATTTTAAGATATTACTTAAAGTGTATGTTTCAGGACAGCAACATTGTTTTCTTATTTTTAGATTATTAAAATTCTTAAATTTAATTTCGAAAAAGAAAAGTATCTAATATATTTTTTATTAGTGACCCATATTTTGAAATGCAAAAATAAATAGTAAATAGTTTATAAAAGATTAAGAATAAATATATATTTTTTTGAATTCAACGTCTCTGTAACCCGTAGAATGCCAACTGCAGTAAACGATTTTTCTCTCTTCGGGTTTTTCTCTTAAGTTGCGGTCACCACGGGAAAATCGGAAAGCGCTGCGCAAACTCACCACAGTCCCGAAAATAAGAGCCAAACTAATAAGGCACCGAACCGAACCCAATGAGCCAACGAACCAAACTCTGGCTCCCATTGACATTTTCACCTACTTTCGACCTGTCGCTTTCCCTTTGGAAAAGCGGAAAGGCGAGCCGAATGCACGGTGGCAGCTTGACCAAGTCCCAGTTGCCTCGTTTACCCATTTCCCCCAATTTCCTCCATGAATTTTCCAAATCAGCTGGCCAAAAAAGCCAAGTCCTCCAAGACGAGTCGCCTTCGAGGGAAAATGCCAATGTTTCGGTCTCGGTTTTTGGGTCGAGCAACAAATTTAATTACAGCCCTGGAAAAGTGCCCTGAAATCGCTTAAGAAATTAACGAGCGAGTAGTTAATGATTCCACTGTATCCGCTTTTTCGGGGGTTTTCTCTATTTTTGTGGCCGGCGAAGAATAAAGTTGCATTGAAATACGGGCGAATCTGTAAATGGCGCATAAATAGCAAATCGAATGTATTGTTGATGCCCTAGGATGGGAAAGGGGTATTTTAATTTTAAAGGAGACAAGAAAGGAAGCTACCTTCGGCCAGCCGAAGCTTATATACCCTTGTAGATAAAAGAATACTCACTCGGTGCAGTTCCAGGGATTCCAGATTCAGCGTTTCGATTTATTTCAATTTTGTTTTTAAGTAGTCAAGAATCAAAACGCCTACTTCCTACAAAGTTACAATGAATTTTCTTATATTTGTTTGGGAGCCTTAAGATATAGTGGTCCGATCCGGCTCGCTACGACATATGTACTACCTGCAATAGAAAGAAGACCTTCGGGAAAGTTTCATCGCGATAGCTTTAAAACTGAGAGACTAGTTCGCATAGAAACGGACAGACGGACAGACGGACAGACGGACAGACGGACAGACGGACATGGCTAGATAGACTCGGCTATTGGTGCTGATCAAGAATATATATACTTTATGTGGTCGGAAACGTCTCCTTCACTGCGTTGCAAACATCTGACTGAAATTATAATACCCTCTACAAGGGTATAAATATAACTTAAGGAAAAATTGTATTATTTTTTTTATATTAAAGAAATAATTATATTTGTCTTTAAATATTTACTAAATTGCATTGAAAAGATAAAAATAGAAAGGTTAGTGATAAGTAAAGCCCCAAAGAAATAAATATTTTAATATTTAGTTTGGTAATAGTTAAGTAGCCAGTAAAAAAATAATCTGTTCGCAAATAAATAAATAAGTATATAAATAAATAAAAAAATAAATAATGCAGAAAGATAAATAAATAATAGAGCATATTTTTAATAATTAGCTAAATAGTTGCACTTCAATAAGTTTTTGGTTTTCAGGGTAATCATACTTATCAAGCGACTTACTCGCTTCCTGCCACAAACACCTCAATAGGATTCACGGATGTCCTGCCTCTGGATTTCCACCATTGTCCTTCCAGCATGTGTGTGTGTGTCCGTGTGCGTGTGGGTGTGGGGCGGTCTATTAGCCGCTCTCATTCATTGAAGATTCGCTGAGCGATTGGCGACGTGTAAACGATAATCAAGTAATTTCCATTATGCCAGGACATAGACCAGCGAAATGGTCACCCAGTGGCTAAATGTGGAAATGGGCTAAACGGGGGGCTAAGGGTGCTTGGGGGAGTTGAGGGGGCGGCCGATAAAAGCCTCACTAAATTGCGATTGTCGCGACTCTGAATGTGTATTGGTGGCAGGAGATACAAAATACATTACGCATACGCCCCGTGGCCCAAACAAAAGCAAATCCAATTGCCAATTGTTGCGATAAAGCAAGCCAAAGCAAAGTCAAAGGAAATGTCGATGCTCTTCTTTTTTCTTTCTGTTCCTCTTGTTGCTGTTTTTGTTGTTGTTGTTGTTTTTCCACTATTTATTGGCAGTGGCATTTCATTGTCCTTGTCGCTGGTGGCTTGGCTTTTAGACAACTTTCTTTGCCATTCCCCTCCGCGTTTTTGTGCTTTTAAGGCGCACGCGATAATGGCCAATGATGCATGTGTGTTGGTGCTGGTGTGTCAGTGTGTGTGTGTGTGTGTCAGCACTTTGCGACAACAATGCCATGCCCACAGCCCACCGCTAACCGTTCCCAACCCCCCACCCCCCGAAAGTCCTTTCTGCACACACCCACACTTCTTCATATAATAGCAACGGCGACGGAAACGGAAGCAACATACTTAGACGATGGCTGAACAGGCCAAAGAGAAAGCGAAAGAGGAGAAGGGTAGATAGAGAGAGAGAGAGAGAGGGGGGAGAAAATAAAAGGGCAGGCAATTCGGAAAATCCAACTGCACGGCCAGCGTAATTGCAAATGTATGCACTAAGAAACAGCGAAACATATTTAATTTAAATAATTATTATTTGTGATTTTTATTTTTAAAGGCCTAAAACGATATATTTGCAGTTCTTTCTTACATTAAATATATTTTTAGATATAGAAGGTTCTTTTAATGGCAAGTTGTCTAATTTAACACAATAGTAAAAATAGTGTTATACTATACATTAATTAGTACAAATCACAATAGTCTTTTGAAAATAAAAATCACAAAATCACATACTAAATTTAAAATGCGATATTTATATATTATAATATATCCCAGACAAGAAAATAAATTTTAAATATATAAATAATAAAAATATTTAAAATTACAATGATTACCACTTTGATATTTGTAATTTACAAGTGTCCAGCTTAAAATATTTAAATAAAATATTATTTAAGGAAAAATAATTGTATAAAGTCAATTACATACGGGATACTAAAATGTAGATAGCGCGAAGTATTTATTTAATAATAATTAATTTAATTAATTAACCAAATGATTACTCTGATTTTACCTCGTTAGAGGTGTTATTGTTTTCTTCATTTAAAAGAACACACAAATATTTTTATTTGTTTGCCTAGAAATCACGGGTAAACAGTTTTCTCGCGGTGTAAGAGGAGAAACGCAACAAGCGTTGGCGAAATGAATTGAAGCGAAACGGTCAACGCGGATTAGCATAAACGTAAAAAGTTCGTTGTGTCTGCGCTTTTGCGTTTTTGCGAGTGAGTGTTAACAGTTAATTGTTTTGCGTGCGTGTCACATGTCCTCATATCTGTGAGCCCTCCTTTGGGCCACCAAATTGTGTCATTAGCAGTCGCATTAAAGGCCAAATGGCTCGAACAGCTCATTGGCACGTTCCAAAAACTGGAAGAACGCGCAGAACTCGCCATGATGATGATCACCCATTATTTCTTACAGCTGAAGTTTTATTTGGCCTGGCCCAGACATAAAGTCAACTTGTTGTTGCTGGCCGGCTTTATGGCCGCAGAATAAAAGTTAAAAATTTATAAATCGCTATGGTAGAATCTTGGAAAGCCATGGGCAATTGCTGATATGACAGTTTTCCCTTCGCTTCCCTGCTTTTTTGAGCTGTTTACATTTGTTGTTGCGCCGTTGCAACTTAAATTTTCCGCTTTTTGATGTGCCAATTTTATGCCGAAAAAAAAGGGGCGAGGAAAGTACAAATATATAAATATATACATGTATAAAAAACTTGCGCCGAGCGGCAGCGAAACTAAATAAATAAATGTGCGCAGACACCCACGCACACTCATGCAGGCAAGTTTTATTTAAGAGTGCAAAAAGTAAAGCAATAAACACGCACACACTCTCGCTTGGCCAACCGGGCGTATGTGTGTTATGCATGGAAATAAAAGTTTTCCATAATTTTGTATAAGAAAAGTTTTCTTGCGTTGTGTTGCAAGTGCTTCCTGCCCACTTTTTTTCGCTATCCTTTTTTTCCGTTCTTTTTTTTTTTTTTTTGGGGGGGGGGGAGGAAAAACTGCTGGTGGTCTAGGCCCAAAGTGGCTACAAAACTTTTACGCTGCTTGTGAATTAATTAAAAGATGAACTGGGCAGGCCAACAAAAGACAAAAAAAAAAGTGTGTAAAAATAAAAGAGATACCCAAGATAAAACTAAAGTTCAGTGGGTGTAACACAAAGCGGCAGTGTCTTTGGGGTTAACTGCTGATAGGCCCTGCCACCCCTAACAAGACCTCTATTCTATGGGACCTCTCATTAAACTGGCGGCAAGTGAAGTCAACTTTAAACGAATATTTGTTTAATATTTGTATAGAACATTATGGTCCACTACACATTGCGTATATATTCGCTCAGTATGGCGATCTTGTGCAGACTGCGCTCCAGGTACAAAGGATGGGCTCCTGTGAGAATCACCAGGTCCTCGAAGCTTATGATTTCCACGTCTTCTTCCATGTCTACAATCTGTGACGAATTAAGAAGTTAAACTTTTAGATAAGTGCTGTGTCTGCCTTAATTATTATGGGGTTACATGGCGTTTAAAAACAAAATATAACAATCTATTTATTCTTTAATAAATGAAAGCTATCTATATTACACTAGGTTATAAAGTCTTTGCAAGTTAAATTATTGGAAGGCGGTGGACACGATAACTCAAAAAGTTGTAAGCCGATTTGTTTCAATTTTGATGTACATATTTAGCATTTTAATAACTCGTGCGTAAACGAAGGATTTTAAAAAATTTTAATTTTTAGAAATTGTCTGATTCTTCAATTTTCCTCCCAACTCACCTTATTGTCCGGGCTGTTGAGGCTCAATTTTTGAAAACTCTCTACAAGTTTCGGCTTTGATTTCGCTTGGAAGTGCTGTCTGGCCAAAACCTTGATGGTGTTGGTTAGCACCTTTTGCGAGGCGTTGGTCAAGTTGAGGATTTCGTCGAAGCTCAGCAGCTCCTCCTTTTCCATTTCCGACATGACGCGGATATAGTGCTCATTTATTGCGTTATCCTCCATTATGCTCGGCTTTTATATTTTGTACACAGCTCCGATATAATATTGAATGTCTGATTTAAGGTTAGAGTTGACACCGCAATCCAGGCTTGCTGACAAATCGAAAAATCTGTGAGCCGAGGCTTCAGGTTTTTGCTGGCCTTACACATAGTGGGCTCTTACTTTTCCTTTCCAGCCGACATTTGGTCATTCGTGTTCGCATATCCAAGTTGTTAACTTCTCAAAAATAGTTTTAATAAGTTTTCTTAAATTTTTGTATTCTATCATAATGATCCAGGTTTTTGCTTTCTACGCTGGGCCCCTGCTAACGGCCCTTCTCTATCTTTATTTCAATCTGTCGGTGTTGTTCAACGAGAGTCGTGATTTCGATCGAACTACAGAAGTGCTCGTGATGGATTCAGAGACTAGGCAAGACGGTACGTTATCGTGGTTTGTCTTACCTATAAGTCTATATACACCTGAAGTCTTTCAGCCCAGGACCTGATTCCTTGAGGTAGCACCCGCACATTCAGATGTTTAAATTGCCGAATAAATGTAGCCAATCCGTATTTTAATTATTTTATTACAACACAAAAAGATTTGGTCATTAGTTTTAAGGAAAAAGTTATTAAAAAATATATAGGTAAATACTATGATACAAATATATATAATAATAATATTTATTTCTATTTGACGTTTTGAATAAAATGTTATGTATAATTATACCGACTTTCGGTTAATTTTATATGATAATTTTCCCACATAATGCCTATTAAAAATCCCTTTTTTGACCCCTTGAAATCCGCTGAAAATCGGCTTACTATGAAAGGCTAGCTGCAGCTTTGGTTGACTTTTTCGTGGCCGACAGGCGACGTGTGGCTAAATCCAAAACGGCTGAGAGGGGGTGGTGGGGTAATAGTGGGGGTAGGGGGTAGGGGGTAGTATGCAAATGCGGTCCTGCAAGAGAGCAACACAAATGCAATTTGTATAATTGACTGTGACTGTGACTGCTTTTCTGCTGCCTCGGCTGCCTAGGCGCCTTTTCGATTTGGATTGTATTTGGGTTGGTATATGTTTAAACAATTTGTGTGGCCATGTTCGGTGACTCCCCCTCCGCCTCGGTTTTTCCAGCTTTCCCTGCTTTTCCCCAGCCCCCTAAACTTCCACTGTGCATGTGTCCTGCATTTTAGTTTCGTCTGCCACGTGCGGTTTTTAGTTTCAGCCTGCTTTTTGGTCAAGTGGGATTGCCAAGCAGTGGGTGGCTGGAATTTTCCTGCTCCAGTGTTGCCGGGTTTTGGAATTTGTTTGCGGTTAAATGCAATTAAAAAGAGATTTACAAGCAGCTCGCCTCACAAAAGTGTCGCAACAGTAGCTCACTAAGCCAAAATAGAGAGGAAAGCCGTGCGAAAGAGACGGCAACACCCTACAACACAGAGAGCGACAGAGACGGCAATGGCGTTACCGAAAGAGACGGAGCGACCGGAGGCTTGACAAATGTTGGCCAGCATTTAAATGCGAGCATTTTTGCGTACCACTGGTGGCATTATGTGCATTATGTTTGCCTTCACTTGAAATAACTGAAATACTCCTTCATGCGATTGCGATTGCACTTCATACGGTGCCCTCTGCTATTCGAATTTCGGTTTATTTTGGCTTAGTTTTCTGGCCAAATTCAGATACCCAGTTGCCAGCCATTTGATTTTCTGGGCCAACAAAAACTGTGTAAGACCGAGGAATTTGCGATTTACAGTGAATTTGAGGGTTCATTGGTGTATTAATAGTTAAAATACAGGAGTGTTTGATTTCTAATTTATGAGTCATAAGGTTATTGGTTAGGAAAGTTTATTTATTTAGCTTTGAGGTGACATAAAACTGATTTCTGTTTCTTATACGCATATCGTTTAGATATTAGAACCATTTTAGAACCTGTTGCTTACATGTCGGGCATATCTTTTTGATATGCCGCATATTGAGCCAAATTGTATACCAATTACATCAAATCGGTCATCGTTTCATATCAATTTTTTGTTTGGATGATTTTCTTTCATAAAGAAATTCAAGAATGTAAAAAAATGAACAGAAAAATCTATGAATGAGGAAACTGAACTGAATTTATGTTCGATCTAATTGGTCATAAGTGAACGACTTATTTCCATGGATATCCTTAAATGGCGGAAGGCATTAAAATGAGCCTGCAAATTGGCTCGTTTGGATTGCGCCAACACAATTCCCATTAAAATTGACTTCAAGTTATTTACATAGCAATTAATAAATGCCATTACAGCCCAGCAGGCAGTCGGGAAACTGACGCAGCAGGCGATTTTCCTGCGGGGAAACGGGCTCGAGGAGGACCAAAGGGACCACCGACGAGGTGAAGTCCTGCGAGAAGATGAAGAAATGAGGAGAGCGCAGAAAAAAAGGTACATGTAAATATTTGAGAAAAGCACAAAAGCCAAAAGGGACAACAATGCGATGTAATGAAATGAAATGACAAGCGCCTCAAAGGACGACGAACGGAGACGGGGCCAAAAAGGATCAGCAGAAGATATATCGTATAAATTATAAATGCAAACAATAAAGTATTTCCTTTCTTGTCAGCCAAGGAGACGAAAATTAAAAAATATGTTTGCATATACAGATGTAAGAAAAAGAATAGCAGTGAGGGGAAATATTTCTCAAAAAGTTGGCTAACCAATGCACATTGGAATGAGTTGCTTTTTTTCTTGGCATAAACTCTAATTTTAAAGATACGGATTAAAATTGTATTTTTAATAATGTTAAGACCATAGTAAAATTTCATTGTAAAAAAAAATTCTGCAAATTTTACAAAATAATTTTGGATTTTATGCCAAAAAATATATATTTTATACCAATGTGCAATAAAGAGAAAAATTCAACAACAGGGCATATTGTGTTAGTGACTTTTAAAATTCATTAGTTATACTTTGATGCCGATAATGTAGGTGAAAGGGAACTTAAAAAAAACTTTAATTTTCTTTTTGAAAATGTATGAAATGTATTTTTTTTGGTGGCAACTGTAGTTTAATGCCAAAACTCCATGTCCGGAGCTCTGGTGTTGTATCTTGCAGATACAAAGATACATCTGACTGAGAGCTGCCAATTAATGCGAATACTTCTCTGCGGGAGTCAAGAACGTGATGTGACTCCTTTTGCAGCCCGGCCACTTTGTTTGGCTTGGGTTTTTTCTTTACAATTTTCCAAATTACATTTGAAATTTTGCATTTCTGCTTTTCTGCATCTCAGCCTTCCGTTTCACTCTTCTGCTGCTTGGGCTTAGAGCAAAAATATTTGTATATAAATATTTGCCATGCTTTGTTCGTTTTCTTTTAACGATTTCAAGCATTTCTTCCATTCGGTTGTTGTCGCTCCTTAAATATATTTCCATGTTTGCCCTGGCTGATTGTAATGCAATTTGTATGCATTGTGCATGGACAAACAGGGGGAATCCCCGGCAAAAGTCGGGCAATCTGGCAACCCTTTTGGGACTCGCAAGCAGCAAGCAGCAACTGCAACAGAAATTGCAGCTGCAGCAGCAGCAGGAGTAGCTGCAACATGCTGCCGCAACTGGTAAAAAATTATGTCAGGTCGCAAATTATTTGCACAATGGAAATTAGTTTCAGTTTTTGCCCTGCCCGCAATGCATACAAATGACCAGGCGACATTCAGCCATGTCTTTTGGCTCGAAGAAAATATTAAAAAAAAAGGAGAGAAGGAAAACCCCTACTGTGAACCAACAATTAAATCTCAGGAAAAAAGAGGGTGTTGCTGTCCTGCGAAACAATTGCAAATCAAAATATTGCACTTGCAGCCAATTGAGCGGACCAAGCGTCAAAGCAGCAGCATCAGCAGCAAAACAAATCGTGCGAAAGGAAGCTGAAAAGGCAAAAACAAAGGGAAAACTGCAAAAAAAGAGGGAAAATACATAAAAAATAAAGGCAGCTGGGCTTAAAGGCCACGAAGGCTTAAATACCCTTGCACCCAAAAATACTTGATATGAAACGATGATCAATTTGATATTATAAAATTTGAATTTCGAATGCTTTTTTCTCCCTCCCACTCATGTAACTTTAAAAATAGAGAGAATTTATTTAGAGATAGAAAATTCGCCAAAATGATATTATTTAATATCAATTTTACCAGTATTGTATATTATTAACTGAGCTTATAACCTATATTTACTATTTCAAATCTTTTTTTAAATGATTTTATTGAGTTAAAAATAACCTTTTAATAATACCATTTTTGAGAAACAAACAAGCTTAAGGACATTTGAAGTGTACAACCTGTGAGGGTATGCGAAACACAAGGCAAATGTCCCCTTCGATGTCATTACCAATACAACTCGGAGCGAAAAGAGACAGACTCACTTGTCCGGCAGTTGGCTTTAACAATGACATCGGGCTTGGACTTGGATTCGTAATGGGAATGGGAATCGTACACATACTCGAACTTGTACTTGGAATCGGTATACGAATCCGAATCTGAATCCGAATCGGACCGGGTTAGCGGCCATAAGCAGATCCCGCATCACAGACCAGCTGAAAGTGAGCGCATATGGCCTTTTGTTTCTGGGACTTGAGCTCCCTGTTTTTCCGCAGGGGGTTTCGGGGGGCGTTCTGATCCCGGCATTCATTTCAGGCCATTGAAGAAAACGTCAGCACAATCGCTCTGAATGGCAACCCATGTGCAATTGACTCGCATCTCATCGAAGCACTCCCCTTCGTTTTTTTTTTTCCCCAGCTCCTGCCAAGTGTGTCATTGCGAATGTCATACAAATTGTGGAATGCCTTCAGTGTCGGAGTCTCTGGTTTCCACAGCGACTGCCGAGGGGAGATGGCTTTTCAAGGGGCGGCGCTTCTGCATGCCAATGAATGGCGCAAAGGGGGGCAATGAACAATTCAGAGCTTGCACTTTGACACCAATATACCAAAGCGACCGGGAAAATGACGTGGCTAAATAAACGGAAGCGAGAAGAGGTCGCAATATATATATCATTTTTTAATCAAAACTAAGATGAGCAACGTTGTAAGACACTCAAAAAACCAAAAGCTTTAATA